CTCTCTCTCTCTCTCTCTCTCTCTCTCTCTCTCTCTCTCTCTCTCTCTCTCTCTCTCTCTCTGTGCCTTCGTTGTCTTGCTCCTCGTCTTTCGTCTCCATCCGTTTTTCGTCTTCCTTGTCCACATCCTCCCACTCCTCGTCAACCTGCCCCTGCTCCTCCTCCTCCTTGTCCACTTTCTCCTCGTTGCTGGCTCCACGTGGCACCATAATTAAAAAGTGAACCTCCTCTCCTCGATTCTTCTCTATGTCCCCCTCCTCCACCTCTTCCTCCTCGTCGCTCTCCTCCTTGTTGACCTCACCCCTCTCCTCCACCTCCTCCCCACCTCAGACATCTTGGTCCCGCCATTGTCAAAGCTTTCCTGCTCCGCCATCGTCCCCCTCGTTGCACCGCTCCACCTGCTGGCCCCCGTCAGCCTTCACCACCCGCCGCCCGGGGGCGCAATAAACAAACGTTTGTGCAGGGGATAACAAACGAATCCCAGCGGCCGGGTGCCAGAAAGGAAGCCCCTGCACGGGCGTTGTCCCACCACGCGCATTTCTACACGCATTTTGAATATGTCAGGTCGAAGAAAGGTCTAGATGCATTCCAAACGTTGGCCTTTGGCGACGTGCTCGGGCCCGGGAAAAACCCGCCCAGCACCGGCCAGGAAGCGTGTCTTCTCAAGTCTGTGTCCCGGGCCGCCTGGCGCCCGCCTTGGTCCCATTTTTCCCTCCTGATTGTCGCACGCATCGTGGAGCCCGGCACAGGCCCCACTGCTTTACCGTGACATTTTCCCAACACTGTGAGCGGTGTGCGCATGACCATCACCCACACTCTTTTCTGTAGGAAGAGTATATATAGAGATAGAGATGGAGATGGGAAAAAAGTCTATTCAAGACTTCGTTTTGTATATCTGGCTCCTTGCTCTTATTTTGAGGGCCAAGCCCCACCGGTGGTAGGTCTATGCTAGGAACGCACACACTTACAGCCGATGTTATGCTTTCCAAGTATGATCATAACACCAGTGAGTCCTCGCCCTGAGTTGGATTTGTGGGTCCACAAACTCTTGTCATATGTGACCATGTTCGATGCATTCAACATCTGAATGTAGGAGTGGTGCTAAACTGGGTGGTGGTCCCCACTCATGTAAGTGTCAGTGGGCGATGGGGGCGTACTCACACTATCTCTATCTTAAATGTATCTGACCGCATTTATGGCCGGGCTTGGATGAATCTGACCGCAATTACGTCCATAAATAAGATAAGAAGTCCTAGTGTGAGAATGCCCTCAGTTGGGTTGAAGCAGCTGTTGCTTGTGAGTAAAACATTTCCTGCCCTTTTTTACCACTTCGATTTCAGAGCATTCCGAAGTGAATTGTCAACCCTCCCCTCCCCCCCCCCCCCCCCCCCCCCCGCCACCCTACCCCCCCCAAAAAAGTGTCACTTGACTGTCACAAACTGTGGTCCTTTGAATGCAGGAATCTGCCAGGACAAAAGCTTGTGGGTAATTTGTCAGTGGAGTTTTTCAAACTGACAGATCTACGACGCCTGTAAGTTCACGCTCTTTTATTCTTTTTGTTTGCCCAAGCAACCTTTGTGTGCTGAACTTTGGATTTTGGTGTTCGTGTCTTGTTCAATGCCCTGCATCACTTTTGAACTTGGCCACAATTCTTGAGTTCATAGAGTCTGTAGGCGAGTAATGGCTAGATGTGGCACAAGGATTTTGGTAACAAGGCATGTTGTCATCACGAAGGACCAAATCTCGGCCTTTAGTTGCTGTGCGAAACAGTAGGCTGGACAAATCATGCAGAAAAAATGACAATAAAGTGACTCATGCAAGGGCATGATGTTCGCAAGAGACCCCATGTGTGTGTGTGTGTGTGTGTGTGTGTGTGTGTGTGTGTGTGAGAGAGAGAGAGGGAGAGAGAGAGAGAGAGAGAGAGAGAGAGAGAGAGAGTGATGTCATGATG